AAAAGAAGAAAATTAAAAGTGAATATGGGAAAGAGTAAGGTTATGAGGAAAACAAAAAGATTAGGTGATGAAAGATTGGATATCAGATTGGAGGGAGAGAGTATGGAGGAGGTGAATGTATTCTCATATTTAGGAGAGGACATGTCAGCAGATCAGTCTATGAAGGATGAGGTGAATCACAGAATTGATGAGGGGAAAAGGGTAAGTGGTGCACTTAGGAGTCTGTGGAGATAAACTTTGTCTGTGGAAGCAAAGAGGGGAATGTATGAGAGTATAGTTGTACCAAAAATCTTGTATGGGAGTGAAGCATGGGTGATGAATGTTGCAACGAGGAGAAGACTGGAGGCTGTGGAGATGTCATGTCTGAGGGCAATGTGTGGTGTGAATATAATGCAGAGAACTCATAGTTTGGAAATTAGGAGATGGTGTGGGATTACCAAAACTATTATCCAGAGGGCTGAGGAGGGGTTGTTGAGGTGGTTCGGACATGTAGAGAGAATGGGACAAAACAGAACGACTTTGAGAGTGTATAAATCTGTAGTGGAGGGAAGGCGGGGTAGGGGTCAGCCTAGGAAGGGTTGGAGGGAGAGGGTAAAGGAGGTTTTGTGTGCAAGGGGCTTGGATTTCGAGCAAGTGTACATGAGCATATTTGATAGGAGTGAATAGAGACAAATGGCTTTTAATACTTGACGTGCTGTTGGAGTATGAGCAGAGACAAATGGCTTTTAATACTTGACGTGCTGTTGGAGTGTGAGCAAAGTAACATTTATGAAGGGATTCAAGGACACCGGCAGGCCGGACTTGAGTCCTGGAGATGGGAAGTACAGTGTCTACACTCTGAAGGAGGGGTGTTAATGTTGCAGTTTTATAACCGTAGTGTAAAGCACCCCTCTGGCAAGACAGTGATGGAGTGAATGATGATGAAAGTTTTTCTTTTCGGGCCACCCTGCCATGGTGGGAATCGACCGATGTGTTAATAATAATAATAAAAAATAATGTCAACCTATTCCTGACTGCGTATTGGAATGGCCAGTTGGACAGGTATTGGACGGTGACGTCATTTGTTTACTCTTGAACATCGCCAAAGAATCGAACATTTCTGCTACTCTGAGCTCAATTTCAAGGTACTTATGCTCGTGAAACCAATCAAAATCATATCTATTTCTGTAATATATCTTCCAGTCTATCAAATGAGACCAAAAATGAGAATACAACCATAAAAACCACATGAAAATATACTGCTAAGGGGCGGCTAATGGCTGAGAAGTAAACTCTGTTATTTATGGTCCGATTTTTTCAATTTTGGTTTATGTTAAGAAGCATCTTTCCATCATACACTGCCCAAGTTCAATACGATAGTCCAACAAACAATTGAGATCCAATTCCCTAGATGAAATGCAAGAGCCCCTCACCAGCGTCAAGGAACCTCCCTTGAGGCGTGCTCGCATTCTGGAAGCAAAAAATCGACCAAGCGACTGTTCGTATCTTGAAAAACTCGCACATTGGGGCACTCTTAAGCTGAGGTTCCACTGTATTTTTATTGTGAGGAAATTATTATTTTAATAAAAACAAATACTGTATTGAGAGGTAAAAGTATCACAAACTCTTACAAACGTATGTGAATGAACTAAAATTGGACACACATTAATACGCGATTATTTCGCCTGACCGAGTGAATACCCACCACCCATTCAGTTCGTTTTTTTACATTGTCTGAACTCTGTGTATCTCATTCTCTCTCGTTTACTAGATCGTTAACTAGTTGGCTCTCGTTGATTATGGCATCTAAGTTTAGTTGTCATAAAAAGAAGAGTCGTATGCCTCTTACTTTAAGTGCCAAGTTAGAAATGATTAAAATTAGTGAACTGACTTTTTTGGGATATCCTAGGTTCTCTACACATATGTATGATAATCTATGTAACTATATTTGTGTATACCTGAATAAACTTACTAACAAGGTATGTCAATGGCTGAGATAGCCATCAAATATAGTTACATATAGCAGCAATGTGTAGAGAACCTAGGATAACTCAAAAAAGTCAAAGTGACTTATTGCTGACATGGAAAAACTTTACACTGCCACTCACCTCTCAGATATTCATATTAATATTAATATGCTAGGGTGTTCGGGAGAGGGGTGGGATTAAATTTTGGGGAATCAAATTCAAAATGGGAATTGACACAGTTACTTTTTGCTGATGATACTGTGCTTATGGGAGATTCTAAAGAAAAATTGCAAAGGTTAGTGGATGAGTTTAGGAATGTGTGTAAAGGTATAAAGTTGAAAGTGAACATAGAAAAGAGTAAGGTGATGAGGGTATCAAATGATTTAGATAAAGAAAAATTGGATATCAAATTGGGGAGGAGGAGTATGGAAGAAGTGAATGTTTTCAGATACTTGGGAGTTGACATGTTGGTGGATGGATTTATGAAGGATGAGGTTAATCATAGAATTGATGAGGGAAAAAAGGTGAGTGATGCATTGAGGTACATGTGGAGTCAAAAAATGTTATCTATGGAGGCAAAGAAGGGAATGTATGAAAGTATAGTAGTACCAATACTCTTATATGGGTGTGAAGCTTGGGTGGTAAATGCAGCAGCGAGGAGACGGTTGGAGGCAGTGGAGATGTCCTGTTTAAGGGCAATGTGTGGTGTAAATATTATGCAGAAAATTCGGAGTGTGGAAATTAGGAAAAGGTGTGTGGAGTTAATAAAAGTATTAGTCAGAGGGCAGAAGAGGGGTTGTTGAGGTGGTTTGGTCATTTAGAGAGAATGGATCAAAGTAGAATGACATGGAAAGCATATAAATCTATAGGGGAAGGAAGGCGGGGTAGGGGTCGTCCTCGAAAGGGTTGGAGAGAGGGGGTAAAGGAGGTTTTGTGGGCGAGGGGCTTGAACTTCCAGCAAGCGTGCGTGAGCGTGTTAGATAGGAGTGAATGGAGACGAATGGTACTTGGGACCTGACGATCTGTTGGAGTGTGAGCAGGGTAATATTTAGTGAAGGGATTCAGGGAAACCGGTTATTTTCATATAGTCGGACTTGAGTCCTGGAAATGGGAAGTACAATGCCTGCACTTTAAAGGAGGGGTTTGGAATATTGGCAGTTTGGAGGGATATGTTGTGTATCTTTATATGTATATGTTTCTAAACTGTTGTATTCTGAGCACCTCTGCAAAAACAGTGATAATGTGTGAGTGTAGTGAAAGTGTTGAATGATGATGAAAGTGTTTTTTCTTTTTGGGGATTTTCTTTCTTTTTTGGGTCACCTTGCCTCGGTGGAAGACGGCTGACTTGTTGAAGAAAGAAGAAAAAAAAAAAAAAATTTAGGGTAACAAGTGTATTGTGTATTTTACCTTTATTGTGTTTTTTACTGCCTAGTTCTATTGCTAACTTAATATATGTTAGTATAAACCTGCTATCTAGCATTTATATGCATTTATAAATGAAAAAAAAGGGGGTGTTCCACTTTACCTAACTTGCCATTTAAGAGGGGCCCTACTGGATATAAATATACAGGACCCATATTTCATGTAGTGTCTGTGCCTGGGAAGATACAGTAAAACTTTGCCCTTAAAAAGCATATCTGAATGAGCAATGGACAACCTACAACTCCCATTTTTGAACTTAACCTACTGACTTACTATAAGATGATGGAATACAAAGTCTTATCCTGTAAAATTATGTAGAGTAATTACTTTTTTTTATTCCACACTTGCAGGACTCTGAGTAATAATATAGGTCGACCAGACTTTTCCTGAAGAGCTGTATGACTTAAAGAAGAAATACTCTACAATTATGGGATAGATTAACCCTTTCAGGGTCGACAGGCCCTCTCAGAGACTTGTTCTCAGGGTCGGCCAAATTTAAAAAAAAAAATTCTTATGCAAAGATAGAGAATCTTTTCTCGATCATAATGACACCAAAAGTATGATATTTGATGGAAAACTTACAGAATTATGCTCTCGCGAAGTTAGCGGTCTCGATGATGTTTACGCATCGGGGACTTTCCCACTTTGAGCCCTATTTTCAGCCAATTGAGTGTACTTGTCGACAAAAATCATAACTATTTCGCTAGAACTTCATTTTGTCTATCGAATGAGCACAAGAAACCACCTATTTACTGATTTCAACTATCCAATACAGTGGTCAGAATTTAGCAATTTTGCCAATTTCACACAAATTTCAAAAGATGCCAATTTCCGAATAGGGTCCAGAATAAACAAGAAAGACATTCCTGGCACTAAAATATCATTTCCTCTGTTCATTAGTCACGTCCACATGCCCCTCTTACATTCTTTTCCTCTCCACTTTGAATTTTTATTCTCACAAAAAAATAGATGATTTACTGTTATGTAGACTACTGCATTGGTGTAGAAATGGTATAAATAATATCAGCGCACTTGTGAAAGAATATTAGACTCACCAGTTGACATGTATTGGACGCATACCATGATTTGTTTACTTTTGAACTTTGGTAAAAAATCAAACATTTCTGCTACTTTGAGCTCAATTTCAAGGTACTTTTCTATGTAAAACCAGTCAAAATCATCTCAATTTCTGTAATATGTCTTCCATTCTATAAAATGAGACCAGGAAAACTAGAATACAACAATAAATACCATACGAAAATGCAGTGCAAAGTAGCTGTTTTAATCCAAAAACACGGTCAACTTTTTTTTTTTACTCATTACGCACTGTGCTGCAGGATTTTTTTCACGCCGCGCACACTGACCACATGGACCCATTCTATCATATGTAGGCCTACCAGCTTTCTCTCACTAGATTTGGGGGCGCCAGAATTTAGGCATATAGTACTCAAAAACCCGGGGTCATAAGCCGACTATAGGCCAAAACTCTGAAAGGGTTAAGGAACAAGAGCTTAAAAGCATATTCAACTTCAAAAAAAGTCAAAAAACTATGAATTTATTAATTTTTCACATTATCAAAAGTACTGCATTATCTTTGTTTGATAATTCATAATTCATTCTTTCCCCAAACCCCTGGTTTTCATTTGTTTGGTGTTTATCTTTTTTTTCCTTTGTTTTAGTAATCTTAACAGGCCTTCATGTCCTCATTAATTTACTTGACCAGTCTTAGTATCGACACGTACTTTTTAAAACGAAAAAAAAATTTTTAATAGAGCTTTTTAAGATTTACAATTCAAATTATTTGCACTTGCCCTTTAAAAAATTGTATTTTTGAAAAAAATTTTTTTGAAAAAAAAAAATTTTTGGGGTGAGATTAAAAATTAGGGAAGCCAAGAACAAAGGTTTGCCCCGTTAAAAAAAAGAAGGAGAGTTTTTTTAAATGGGAGTTAGGTATTGGGAAGTGGGGGGGAATATTTTGAGGAACTGTTAAATGTTGATGAAGATAGGGAAGCGTGATTTCGTGTTGGGAAGGGGGAAAAAACATTTGAGGGTGGGAAAGCCCCGTTTGAGGGGGGGGAAGTTTGGAGACAGTAGGTAAAATGAAAAAGGGGTAAGGCAGCCGGGGGTTGATGGGATAAAGATAGAAATGTTAAAAGCAGGTGGGGTATAATTTTGGAGTGGGTTTGGTGCTTTTTATTTAATAAATGTATGGAAGGGGTAGGGGGACCCAGGGGTTGCAGAGAGCATGCTAGTTTTTTGTATAAAAGGGAAAGGGGACAAAAGAGAGTGCAAAAATTATAGGGGGATTTAAGTTGTTGGTTACCGGTAAATGTATGGGGAATTTTTTATCAAAGAATTAAAAAAGTAAGATGGAGAATAGGTACCAATGAACAAGGAGGCTTTTGGGAAAGGGAGGGGGGTGGCCAGGGTTTTCAGTGAACATATAAATCAAACAGTATTTTGATAAGGTTAAAGAGGTTTTTGTGGCATTTATGGATGTGGAAAAGGAGTATGACAGAGTGGATTAGGGGGGCAATGTGGCAGATGTTGCAGGTGTATGGTATAGGAGGTAGGTTACTGAAGCAGTGAAGAGTTTTACGAGGATAGCGAGGCTCAGTTAGAGTATGTAGGAAAGAGGTGAGATTATTTCCCAGTAAAAGGAGGCCCTTAGACTTGGAGTGTTTGATTGTCACCGTGGTTGTTTAATATATAAAATGATGGGGCTGTAGAGAAGTAAATGCGAGGGTTCTTAGGCAAGAGGCGTGGAGTTAAAAGATAAAGAATCACACAAAAGTGGATGTTGTCGCAGTAGCTCTTTGCTGATGACACTGTGCTATTGGGAGATTTGAGAGAGTTGCCAGAGGTGTGGAAGAAGAATTTGGTAGGGTATGGTATGTAAAGAAGAAATTTTAAAAAGTTAATTACTGGGAAAAGAGTAAGGTTTGAGGTAACGAAAAGATTAGGTGATGAAAGATTGGATATCAGATTGGAGGGAGAGAGTATGGAGGTGGTGAATGTATTCAGATATTTGGGAGTGGACATGTCAGCAGATGGGTCTATGAAAGATGAGGTGAATCATAGAACTGATGAGGGGAAAAAGGGTGAGCGGTGCACTTAGGAGTCTGTGGAGACAAAGAACTTTGTCCTTGGAGGAAAAGTGGGGAATGTATGAGAGTATAGTTTTACCAACTCTTATATGGGTGTGAAGCATGGGTGATGAATGTTGTAGCCTTATCTAAATACTGTTCACTTATATGGAGCGAAACAGAATGACTTCAAGAGTGTATCAGTCTGTAGTGGAAGGAAGGCGGGGTAGGGGTCGGCCTAGGAAAAGGATTAGTGGAGGGGGTTAAAGGAGAGGTTTTGTGTGCGAGGGGCTATGGACTCCCGCGGACATGCGTGAGCGTGTTTGATAGGAGTGAATGGAGACAAATGGCTTTTAATACTTGACGTGCTATTGGGGTGTGAGCAAAGTAACATTTATGAAGGGATTCAGGGAAACCGGCAGGCCGGACTCGAGTCCTGGAGATGGGAAGTACGGTGCCTGCACTCTGAAGGAGGGGTTTGTTAATGTTGCAGTTTTAAAACTGTTGTGTAAAGGACCCTTCTGGGCACAAGACAGTGAATGGGGGAATGATGGTGAAAGTTTTTCTTTTTCAGGCCACCCTGCCTTGGTGGGAATCGGCCAGTGTGCTAATAAAAAAAATATATAATTTTATAAGGAACAAGCATGCTCATCACTGAAGAACAGGTCATTTTGTAAAAAATTTAATTGTGAATAAGCAAACCACACTCAGGTGGGAGAGGAAGAAAGAGAGGATGCAACATGAAGACCCATGATAAGATAATGAAGAATATGCAACTAGAAGGCCAAGTTCATGTGCTGAATATTAAATAGTAGACCACCACGTAACTGCTTTCAAAGAAATAAATCTTCAATAAGAGTATTTCCTTTTGTTTCTACCACTGAAACAGTTCCATTAAAGACTGAGGTCAACTAGTTGCCATTATAATTTTTTCCGATATTCACATTTCATATATGAGGCCTTAATACTTAACTACTATATTGTATTTTTTACACATCAGTATTTCAATACATTATTGCAACAAAGAATTAAAAATAGTACTTGAAAATGAACAATAAAATACTTACATTCAGGAGGGCATCATTTAATTCTTGCATGACATTTGCATGGCAAGTGGAGTGAAGTGCAGAGACAACGAGATGAGTGTACTTCCCAAGAGACACCTGCTCCTCTTTTAAACTCAATGAGTCAGTATCTCCTGACCCACACATAAATAATAACAAATCGCAGAGAAACATGGACATACGGGTATGTGCATGATCCCATTTTTGCTGTTCATGTATGTTTTTTGGAAAAATAAATTCCCTGAATGATACTGATACCTCTATGAATAGCTTGGAACCACATACAGAGGTGAGAGTTGTGATTCATAAACTGAACCATTCTCCTCAGAAGGTATAAGCAAATCTAGCATGCTTTGTGTTTTGCTATGATCTAGGATGATACTACAATCTTCCTCCTTTGATACTTGATTGAATACTAATGCCATAAGATTATGTGCAAGATCAGCCATTGTCACTGCTAGATGGTATGTACATGTGCTTTCAAGCACAGTTTTCTTAATATCTTTCAAAGTTGAATTAAGACAGCTGCCCTCTTCCATAAACTTATTTGGATTATCAGCTGCTAGTGATGCAATTAAACCTTTAAAAGCCTTCAAGAAAGTTGTCTTGAGAAGGTCAACTGTCTCTTCTGAAAGAGACTTTGAGGACTGACAAAGTAACAAAAACAATGATTTCATAAATTCATGGATGCCTCTTGTCTGCCAACATACATAGCTACTGAAAAGCTGCCCTGCCAAATTTGTCACCAACTGCACAATTCTGTCTTCTGGTTCATTTTCACCTGGAGCACTGACTTTAAGGTTGATGCTGAGTTTGGTCAGAATCTGTGATATGTAATCCATGGCAATCACCGGTTCTGTCAGAAAAAAGCATTTTAAGGTTCTTCATTAAATGACAATCAAATTACCACACAACAAAGTATTCCAAAAACTGTAAAGGTGTAAGAAAACTAATTTTTTTTTTAACTCACTGGCCATCTCCCACCAAGGTAGGGTGACCAAGAAAAAGAACACTTTCACGACTATTTATTCATTCAGCAGTCAGTCTGATGTAACTTAACCTGGATTCTGACCTAATGTAACCTGGTTACATTAGGTTTGGTTTCATTGGGCTAGTTTTTTTTTTTTTTTTTTAAAGTTACCAAAGAAAAAAATTAGCCTGAAATATAATTTGTTGTTGCACATGTTTAATTTTGTAGAATTTACATACTAAAAACATACAGATATAGCAAACATACAAAATAAATACTAAACAAAACTATAACTTATTATTATACACTATAAACTATAAATTATCACCTAATTCCACCATGCAGCTAAAATAAATATTAATCTTTCAAAATGAACGAAATAAATGTCAAATAATTTTGGAACAATTATGCACATTTTGAAACTAAAATTAAATTATTATTAAATGGAGAGTTAGAGGTATTGGGAAGATGGAGGGAATATTTTGAGGAATTGTTAAATGTTGAAGAAGATAGGGAAGCTGTGATTTTGTGTATAGGGCAAGGAGGAATAACAACTTGTAGGAGTGAGGAAAAGCCAGTTGTGAGTGTGGGGGAAAATTTGTGAGGCAGTGGGTAGAATTAAAGGGGATAAAGCAGCTGGGATTGATGGGATAAAGATAGAAATGTTAAAAGCAGGTGGGGATATAATTTTTGGAGTGGTTGGTGCTATTATTTAATAAATGTATGGAAGAGGGTAAGGTACCCAGAGATTGGCAGAGAGCATGCACAGTTCCTTTGTATACAGGCAAAGGGGATAAAAGAGAGTGCAAAAATTATAGGGGAATAAGTCTGTTGAGTTACTTTTGCTTTGCTTTTTGGGCCATCCTGCCTCGGTGGGATACGGTCGGTGTGTTGAAAGAAGAAAGAAGTTTGTTGAGTATACCTGGTAAAGTGTATGGTAGAGTTATTACTGAAAAATATTAAGAGTAAGATGGAGAGTAGGATAGCAGATGAACAAGGAGACTTTAGGAAAGGTAGGGGGTGTTTAGACCAAGTGTTTACAGTGAAACATATAAGTGAATAGTATTTAGATAAAGCTAAACAGATTTTTGAGGCATTTATGGATTTGGAAAAGGCATATGACTGGGTGGATAGGAGGGCAATGTGGCAGATGTTGCAGGTGGATGGTATAGGAGGTAGGTTTTTACGAGGATAGTGAGGTTCAGGTTAGAGTATGTAGGAGAGAGGGAGATTTTTTCGCAGTAAAAGTAGGCCTCAGACAAGGATGTGTGATGTCTCCGTGGTTGTTCAATATATTTATAGATGGGGCTGTAAGAGAAGTGAATGAGGGGGTCTTGGCAAGAGGTGTGGAGTTAAAAGATAAAGAATCTAACATAAAGTGGGAGTTGTCACAGTTGCTCTTTGCTGATGACACTGTGTTTTTGGGAGATTCTGAAGAGAAGTTGCAGAGGTTGGTGGTGATAAATTTTGGGTAGGGGATGTAAAAGAAAAAAATTAAAAGTGAATATAGGAAAGAGTAAGGTGATGAGGATAACAGAAAGATTAAGTGACGAAAGATTGGATATCAGTTTGGAGGGAGAGAGTATGGAGGAGGTGAATGTATTCAGATATTTAGGAGTGGACGTGTCAGCAGATGGGTCTATGAAGGATGAGGTGAATCATAGAATTGATAAGGGGAAAAGGGTGAGTGGTACACTTAGGAGTCTGTGGAGACAAAGAACTTTGTCCGTGGAAGCAAAGAGGGGAATGTATGAGAGTATAGTTGTATCAACAATCTTGTATGGGTGTGAAGCATGGGTGATGAATGGTGTAACAAGGAGAAGGCTGGAGGCAGTGGAGATGTCATGTTTGAGGGCAATGTGTGGTGTGAATATAATGCAGAGAATTCGTAGTTTGGAAATTAGGAGAAGGTGTGGGATTACCAAAACTATTATCTAGAGGGCTGAGGAGGGGTTGTTGAGGTGGTTCGGACATGTAGAGAGAATAGAACAAAACAGAATCACTTCTTGAGCGTATAAATCTGTAGTGGAGGGAAGGCGGGGTAGGGGTCGGCCTAGGAAGGGTTGGAGGGAGAGGGGTAAAGGTGGTTTTGTGTGTGAGGGGCTTGGACTTTCAGCAAGCATGCATGAGCGTATTTGATAGGAGTGAATGGAGAAAAATGGTTTTTAATACTTGACATGCTGTTGGAGTGTGAGCAAAGTAACATTTACGAAGGGATTGAGGGAAACTGGCAGGCCAGACTTGAGTCCTGGAGATGGGAAATACAGTGTCTGCACTCAGGAGGAGGGATGTTAATGTTGCAGTTTTATAACTGTAGTGTAAAGCACCCTTCTGGCAAGACATTGATGGAGTGAATGATGATGAAAGTTTTTCTTTTTCGGGCCACCCTGCCTTGGCGGGAATCGGCCGATGTGTTAAATAATAATAATAAAAAACTTTAGACAATACAAGATATGTGCATAGTTCATTATGATGCAACAATGGAATGGCTCTCAAACAACTTTGGCAAATAATTGAGGATTTTTGGAAGAGAAGTAGATTTTTCTTTTACCATAATATCACGTGACCATTGTGGCATTTTAAAATAAACTGCTTCCAGAATTCTGTTAAATTTTGAATGTATTACAACAATAAATGAATTCTGAATTTAAAATTCTGTTCTTCCCCCACTTTCCCCCCAAAAAAAGACCAAAATGTAGTTTCAGTATTAACAGCTACATGTAAATTTTTAACAAAATGATCATGCCTACCCTTCTTGTTTCCATTTCTAAGTACAAAATTAAATAGAGAAATCAGGTCATCCTGCTGCATCAAGTGTTGAGTTGATGTTAATATCTTTATAGGACCACAAAGTCTGTCTACCAGTTGAACAAGTCTGGATCCCAAATGTGATGACAATAACCAAGCTGCAGCCACTTCATCTCTCTCCCGACGATCAGTCATCTTCTCAATCAGCAGCCGCAACACACTTATAGACAAGCACGGCTGAAAATAAGTAATTATCCAATAGAGTTTCTCACATTATCACATCACTTGACAATATTGTTATTTTGTATGTGATATAACACGAACATCATGCTGCATAATAATTAATACTTTTAAAAAATGTACTGTACTTTACAAAAAAAAAAAAAAAAAAAAAAATGAACATGAACATAACATCCTATATTTGTCAATGAAATTTACTATTTATTGAAACTAATGAAAAATTCACATGTTTACATAATGCACTGGGTGTGCTTATATTCTACATACAATAAACTCTTGACAGAAACACACCTCGATATGACAAACTTTTAAAATTATGGGCAAAATTCACTAGTTAAATTATACTTTTAACTCCTTAACCTTTTGACTGTCGCAAGCCCCTTTCTGAAACTGTCATTCTATGTTGAAAAATTTTTTGGGGAAAAAAAAATTATTTTTTCTTATGAAATAATAGAGAATCTTTTCCCGGTGGTAATGACGCCAAATGTACGAAATTTGGTCAAAAACTCATGAAATTACGCTCCCGCGAAATTAGCAATCTTGGCAATATATATGCATCGGCGATTTCACCGACTTTGAGCCCTATTTTTGACCAATTCCATTGTTCCAGTCGACCAAACTCATAAATATTTCTTTAGAACTCCATTTTTTCTATCAACCGAGTACAAGAAACCGCCCATTTACCGATTTGAACTACCCATCAAAGTGGTCAGAAATTGGCTATCATCGTCATTACTGAAGTCAGAGGCTTGGCCACACGAAAATAATAGTTTTCTCTTGCGATGAGGTACAACTGACCGTGACTGAGGAGTGCCCACACCAGAGGTAGAAGGTTGAGGATCGTCAGGGTTTTCTGCGCTATTATCGATATCCTGGTCATTCCTGTCGGTCACTAACTGATCAAAGCCAAAGAATTCGTCTTCATTTCCACTTCCATCAGTGTCAGAACTATCAGATAGGAAGAGGAGTCCCAATTTTCCTTGGAGTGAGAGCTGCCTTGCGACGAGGCATGGTGAACAAAGGTAATTGAGTCGGCGTTCCCACAATGCTATGCGGGCGCCTAGAATTTTTGTTTATGGCGCACACCCACCACGCAGACCCATTCTCTCACATGTAGGCCTATGAGCGTTTTCGCGCTAAATTTGATGCCGCTAGAATTTTGGCGTAGATCTACGGTTTGGACACTGAATGTGAAGCCGTAGATCTACGGGACGGACCTTGAAAGGGTTAACAATGGCTGCTAGAGCAAGTGGTGGTGCCTAGTGAAAACATGGTTCTCAGAAAACTATACCTTCTGAGCCATCTACATTATTTTCACAATTAAGAGCTTTACAGCTCCTCTGACTCAGAATAAAAGTTTTTCTGAGTCACCACTGATGATCACAGCAGTTTACATTTCATCTCTCCACCACAAAAACAATGAAAATTACTGTAGATTACGCAGTACTAAAAAATTACTATACAGCACAGAACTGTATTGCATACTACAGGTTACAATACCTGTATTCTTAGTGTCCTGCTGTCTTCTGCGTCAGTGAACCAAGTCTACTACTTCAGAAGATATCTGGACGATCATGAAATATTAATTTCATAATTTGGGAGTTGTGAACAATTGGTATTATTGCACACCCCTTACCCCCTATTAGAGCATTAACCCTTTCTGGGTCCAAAGGCCAAATTTCATAGGGTGCACCAGTGTCCAAGAATTTTCAAAAAATAATATTATTTTTTTTGATGAAATGGTAGAGAATCTTTTTCTGAAGGTAATACAACAAAAAAGTATGAAATTTGATGGAAAATTGACGCTCTCACGAATTTTGATGTCTGCGAAATTTACGCATCAGTGATTTTACGGGCTTTGACTCCCATGTTAGGCCAATTACATTATTCCAGTCGACCAAATTCTTAGCTATTTCACTAGTATTACTTCTATTCTATCGATTGAGCACAAGAATTCGCCAAATCAACTGCTTCAACTACAAAATAAAGTGATCGGAAAAATTTGGGGAATTTTTGGGCCCAAATTTTAAAGAAAAGTTTTAAAATATTCCAATTTCAAAACAGGGTCCAGAATAAACAATGTAGGCATTCCTGGCACTAAACTAACATTTCCTCTGTTCATTAGTTATGTTTTCAGGCTTTACTAATGAATTCCATTTTTATTTTTTATTCACATAATGAATTTTTATTCAAACCAAAAAATAGATGATTTACTGTTATGCAATATTGTAATAATTGTATAAATAATATCAGTACATTTGTGAACATATATTAGACCCACCAGCAGGCGTGTATTAGACACGTGAGGTTATTTGTTTACTCTTGAACATCAGCAAAAATTTAACATTTCTGCTACTTTGAGCTCAGTTTCAAGCCATTTCCAGTAATAGAACCTACTAAAATCATCTCTACTTCTGTTATATGTCTTCCATTCTATCAAATGAGACCAAGAAATCGCAAATACAGTGGACCCCCGGTTTACGATCAGCTCCCAATGCCACCAATTATGCAAGTGCGATTGTATGTGTATGTTTGGGGGTCTGAAATGGACTAATCTAATTCACAATATTCCTTATGGGAACAAATTCGGTCAGTACTGACACCTGAATCATTTCCATGGTTAACCTTATCCTTCATAAACCCATCTGCTGACAAATCTACTTCCAAATACGTATCTGAACACATTCACTTCTTCCATAATCTCTCCCTCCAATGTAATATCCTATTTTTCTTTACCTAACTTGTTTGATACCCCTTATCTATGTTCACTTTCAACTTTCTTCCTATACACACCCTCCTAAACTCGTCTGCTAACCTTTGCAACTTCTCTTTAGACTCTCTCAAAAGCACAGTATCATCAATAAAAAGTAACTATGACAGCTCCCATATTGTATTTGATTCCCCATAATTTAATCCCACCCTTCTCCCCAACACCCTAACATGAAAATAGCCAGAACCTACCTTGAAATTCATTAACACCATTTTCTGTTCTTCTTGGTCCATTAAGTCATATAAACTCATAAATATATTTACAGTCGGTTGAGAAATTGAAGGTTTTTCCCCTTCCATCTTAGGCAGAATCACTTGTTCAAGCATTTCTCTTGTATTAACAGGCTTCTCTGCTTTCAGACCATACACAAGAGCAGTGTAAACACTAGGTGAGGGGAAAGAGCAGAGAAGAACTGAAAACATATTATAGATTGGCACACTTTTCTCCTGCATATATATACTATGACAGGAAAATGTTAATGGTGAAACCTTCATTCCAGTATTTTCTAAGAAGATTTTTTCTTTCTCATCTTGTTCTCTGGAATGATCATCAGGGCTTTCTTTAACTTCAACTTCATCGAAAAATTTAATTCCCTCCCTTCTCTGGCTGAATTTGGAATCTGGATTCCTCAAAACAGTAAAGAAAGTTATCATTTTTGACACTGCTGATATATTTCCTTGTTGAATTAGGATTTCACACTCAGGAATTAATTTTGTCCAGAAAAGATCAAAAAGTATACTCAAAAACTTCATTTCCTCTGTTTGAGATTTCCAAGAGAAAAAACGCAAGAGACCTGCAACTTCACGGTAAAGACTGGAAGTATTTAACTGTGGTGTGTCAGAGAAGGATGACTTCAAAAGTTCAACCACCTGAAATTAAAAATGTAACAATATATTAGTTTACAAACATTTATAAATTAATATTTATCACATAACATTTAAATTCTTTATTTAATAAAATAAATACAGTAGACTGTCATTTAACCCTTTGAGGGTCGACAGGCCCTCTCCGAAACCCGTTCTCAGGGTCGGCCAAATTTAAAAAAAAAAAAAAATTATTTTCTCTTATGAAAAGATAGAGAATCTTTTCCCGATCATAAAGACACCAAAAGTTTGAAATTTGATAGAAAACTTACGGAATTATGCTCTCGCAAAGTTAGCGGTCTCGGCAATGTTTGCGCATCGGCGATTTTGCCCACTTTGAGCCCCATTTGCGGCCAATTTCACTGTACTAGTCGACAAAAAACATGAATATTTCGATAGAAACTCCATTTTTTCTATCGAATGGGTTGCAAGAAACCACTCATTTATGAAATTCTACTATCCAGTACAGTGGTCAGAATTTAGCAATTTTGCCAATTTCACACAAATTTCAAAAGATGCCAATTTCCGAATAGGGTCCAGAATAAACAAGAAAGACATTCCTGGCACTAAAATGACATTTCCTCTAGTCATTAGTCATGTCTCAAGGCCCCTCTTATATTCTTTTGCTTTCCACTTTGAATTTTTATTTTCACAAAAAATATAAGATTTACTGTTATGCAGACTACTGCATAGTGCAAAAAATGGTATAAATATTATTGGTGCACTTGTGAAAGAATATTAGACTCACCAGTTGACGTGTATTGCACGCTTGGCACGATTTGTTTACTTTTGAAGTTTGGTAAAATCGAACATTTCTGCTACTTTGAGCTCAATTTCAAGGCACCTTTCTTTGTAAAACCAGTCAAAATCATCTCAATTTCTGTAGTATGTCTTCCATTCTATAAAATGAGACCACGAAAACTAGAATACAACAATAAATACCATACGAAAATACACTGCAAAGTCGCTGATTTATTAAAAAAAATGGTCAAAGTTTTTTTTTTCTCATTATGCACTGTGTGCTGCAGGATTTTTTTTAGACTGTGCACACTGACCACATAGACCCATTCTTTCATATGAAGGCCTACCAGCTTTATCCCACTAGATTTGAGGCCGCTAGAATTTATGAGTACTAGTACGTCAAAAACCCCTACGCGTAAGACGTACTAGTACGACGAAAACCCTCAAAGGGTTAACAAGATAGTTACGTTCCTGAAAATGCAGTGTTAAGTAAAAGTGTGTTAGATGAACTGAAAAACTTATGGGAAAAATATGGTTACATTCCTTGGAGCCCCAAAAAGCCAAACAACTTTTTTTTAAGCCTCCACATCTTACAAAAATAAAAGTGAATATGTATTTCTTACCTTAAATTGTGGGTGCTGGTGTTTGTGGATGATTGTGAAGAGAGTGGAGAGTTATGCTGTGGCCCTACTAGGCTGAGGTGGATTATAGGTTCTGGTACTGAAGTCGATCATTGTATTGGAGTGTCTAACTTTAAGTCATTCAAGTCAGTAAGTCAAGTCAGTCAGTCAAGTCATTCAGTCAGTCAAGTCAGTAAGTCATTCAGTCAGCCAAGTCAGTAAGTCATTCAGTCAAGTCAGTAAGTCATTCAATCAAGTCAATAAGTCATTCAGTCAAGTCAGTAAGTTGTTCAATCAAGTCAATAAGTCATTCAGTCAAGTCAGTAAGTCATTCAGTCAAGTCAGTAAGTCATTCAGTCAAGTTGTAAGTCATTCAGTCAAATCAGTAAGTCATTCAGTCAAATCAGTAAGTCATTCAGTCAAGCCAGTAAGTCATTCACCCAGCCAAGTCATTCAGTCAAGTCAGTAACTCAGTCAGTCACACAAACTCATATTTACATCTTTTTGTGTGTACAAAGTAACACTTCATTAGGGTTATCTCTTGTCTAAGATCTTTGCTTTCTTCGTTAATTCTAAGACTTGAATGCTTATACCTTTTCTTGCCGCTTTCAGCAACACTGGTATGCCTACTGGGTGTCATGACTGCTTGGCAGATAAAAGATATAGTAACTAAAAGATCAAAACACAATTCACAAACACAGCTAGCATGTAGCAGAGAAGGACTGGACTGGACACGTATGAAGCACGAATGCTGGGATGGTAGGGTGGTGTCAGGGGTTAGCAGGGGACGGTGGGAGGTCTCCCCGGCTGATCCACAACAAGGCGGCTGCTTGAGGAAAAGGGAATTTTTTTCTTCCCGCAAAACTGAACGTGCTATACCCAAATCGTTCCAAATAAACTCGTCCTAAATGATTGTTTTTTTTTTTTTAACAAGTCGGCCGTCTCCCACCGAGGCAGGGTGACCCAAAAAAGAAAGAAAATCCCCAAAAAGAAAATACTTTCATCATCATTCAACACTTTCACCACACTCGCACATTATCACTGTTTTTGAAGAGGTGCTCAGAATACAACAGTTTAGAAGCATACACATATAAAGATACACAACATATCCCTCCAAACTGCCAATATCCCAAACCCCTCCTTTTAAGTGCAGGCATTGTACTTCCCATTTCCAGGACTCAAGTCCGACTATATGAAAATAACCGGTTTCCCTGAATCCCTTCACTAAATATTACCCTGCTCACACTCCAACAGATCGTCAGGTCCCAAGTACCATTCGTCTCCATTCACTCCTATCTAACATGCTCACGCACGCTTGCTGGAAGTCCAAGCCCCTTGCCCACAAAACCTCCTTTACCCCCTCTCTCCAACCCTTTCGAGGACGACCCCTACCCCGCCTTCCTTCCCCTATAGATTTATATGCTTTCCATGTCATTCTACTTTGATCCATTCTCTCTAAATGACCAAACCACCTCAACAACCCCTCTTCTGCCCTCTGACTAATGCTTTTATTAACTCCACACCTCCAATTTCCACACTCCGAATTTTCTGCATAATATTTACACCACACATTGCCCTTAAACAGGACATCTCCACTGCCTCCAACCGTCTCCTCGCTGCTGCATTTACCCCCCAAGCTTCACCCCCAAATATAAGGTGTTGGTACTACTTTTACTTTCATACATTCCTTCTTTCCCTCCATAGAAAACCTTTTTTTTTGACCCACATATACCTCAACGCACCACTCACTTTTTTCCTCATCAATTCTATGATTAACCTCATCCTTCATAAATCCATCTGCAAACACGTCAACTCCCAAGTATCTGAAAACATTCACTTCTTCCATACTCCTCCTCCCCAAATTTTGATACCAATTTTTTTTATCTAAATCATTTGACACCCTCATCACCTTACTTTTTCTATGTTCACTTTCAACTTTCTACCTTTACACACATTCCCAACTCATCCATTAACTTTGCAATTTTTCTTAGAATCTCCCATAAGCACAGTATCATCGCAAAAAGTAACTGTGTAAATTTCCCCATTTTGAATTTGATTCCCCAAAATTTATCCCACCCCTCTCCCGAACACCCTTGCATTTACTTCCTTACAACCCCATCTATAAATATATTAAACAACCATGGTGGACATTACACATCCCTGTCTAAGACCTACTTTTACGGGAGTAGTCTCCTCTTTTTCTACACACCCTAACCTGAGCCTCACTATCCTCATAAAAACTCTTTACAGCTTTAATAACTTACCACCTATTCCATATACTTGCAACATCGCCACATTGCTCCTCTATCCACTCTATCATATGCCTTTTCTAAATCCATAAATTCAATAAAAACTTCCCTACCTTTATGTAAATACTGTTCACATATATGCTTCAATGCAAACACTTGGATCTACACACCCCCTACCACTCTGAAACCCCCTTGCTCATCCGCAATCCTACATTCTGTCTTACCTCTAATTCTTTCAATTATAACCCTACCGTACACTTTTCCTGGTATACTCAGTAAACTTATTCCTCTATATTTTTTACAGTCTTTTTTGTCCCCTTTCCCTTTATATAAAGGGACTATACAGTGGACCCCCGGTTAACGATTTTAATCCATGCAAGGGGGCTCTCGTTATGCGAAAAAATCGTTATGCGAATAAATTTTTTTCCCCAAAAGAAATAATGGAAATAAAATTAATCGTGCAAGATGCCAAAAGTATGAAAAAAATTTTTTTTACCACATGAAATGTTAATTTTAATACACACAACTGAAAAAGGCATGCACAATTAAAGGGACACTTACTTTTATTGAAGATCTGGTGATGATTGAGGGGGATGGGAGGAGGGGAGAGCATTATCTTCTTACTGTTTAGAAGGGGAACCCCCTTCCATTAGGACTTGAGGTAGTAAGTCCTTTTCTGGGGTTACTTCCCTTTTTTTTTTAAATGCCATAGGGCCAGCTTCAGAGTCACTGGACTTCTTTGCAAAAAGATATTGTCCTAGTGGCCTGTACCTCTGTTCCTTTATGACTTGCCTAAAGTGTTTCACAACATTGTCAGTGTAATAATCACCAGCACGGCTTGCAATAGCTGTGTGAGGGTGATTTTCATCCATGAAGGTTTGCACTTCAAGCCACTTAGCACAGTTTTCCCTTTTTATCTTTGTAGTAGGCAACTTCTTCAATTTCTCTGTCCCCTCCTCTGAACCAGTTTCCCAGGTCTGGCCTCTTGCTCTTGAAGTTGATCTATCAGTCATCAGTGGTTAGTTCTTCATTGTCCTCCTCACCAACTCTTCCAATCCTCCACTAACCCCCAAACCCCAAGGACTTTCCCAATCCCACAATGGTTTCCCTCAACTGGCACAGGATTCTCAGGGTTAGCCTCAACCCTTAAAAACCCCTTTGTCTACACATTCTGGCCACAGTTTCTTCCAAGCAGAGTTCAAGGTCCTCTTAGTCACTTCCTCCCAAGCCTTACCTATAAGGTTTACACAATTGAGGATATTAAAGTGATCTCTCCAAAACTCTCTTAGAGTCATTTGAGTTTCTGAGGTCATTACAAAGCACCTTTCAAACAGAGCTTTTGTGTACAGTTTCTTGAAGTTGGAAAAAAACCTGCTGGTCCATGGGCTGCAGGAGAGGAGTGGTATTAGGAGGAAAAAAACTTCACCTTAATGAGCTCATGTCCCCATAAAGTCGCTCTGCCACGTCTGTAGGATGACCGGGGGCATTGTCTAACACCAGGAGGCACTTAATTTTCTAATTTCTTTTCAGTTAGGTAATCTTTCACTTTGGGGGGCAAATGCATGGTGTTAACCAGTTATAGAAAAATTCCCTAGTGACCCATGCCTTACTGTTTGCCTCCACAGCACACACAAATTATCCTTGAGGACATTCTTTTGCCTGAACGCTTGGGAGTTTCAGAGTGATACACTAATAAAGGCTTCACTTTGTAATCACCAGTAGCATTGGCACACATCAACAAAGTAAGCCTGTCTTTCATAGGCTTTGTCTGGGGGGCCCTTTTCCCCCTGAGTAATGTAGGTCCTGTTTGGGCATTTTCTTCAGAAAGGCCGGGTTTCATCACAATTAAACACTTGTTCAGGTTTCAGTCCTTCAGTTTCTATGTATCCTTGAATTCCTCCCACATATTTTTCAGCCGCTTTGTGGTCCGAATGGCAGCCTCACCATGCCTTATCACACTATGGATGCCACTACGCTTCTTAAATCTCTCAAACCAACCTTTGGGGCCCTTAATTCACTCACATCATCACTAGTTGCAGGCATTTTTTAATTAAATCCTCATGCAACTTCCTAGCCTTTTCACATATGATCGTTTGAGAGACGCTATCTCCTGCTATCTGTTTTTCATTTATCCACCCCAAAAAGAGTCTCTCAACATCTTCCTCACTTGCGATCTTTGTTTCGAAAACACAGTTGAACCTTTGGCAGAACAGCTTCCTTGATTGTCTTTTGGTGCCCACAATAGTAGCGATGGTTGATTGGGGTTTTTGTACAGCTTGACTAGGTCGGCTATACGCACTCCACTTTCATACTTATCAATTATCTCTTTCTTCATTTCTATAGTAATTCTTACCCTTGAGGTGTAGGGTTGGCACTAGAAGCTTTCTTGGGGCCCATGGTCACTTATTTTCCAGAAACAGCACCGAAAATACTGTAATAATACGAAAATATTCCGAGTGGTATGCTTGGATGTTACCCCGGAGGCTGGCTGGTAAACAATGGGACGGCTGGCACATGTGAGGCTGGCTGAGGGCACATTGGGCGCGTCTCGGACGAAAATCGGGTTAAACGGGTTTTTAATCGGTATGCGCGGCAAAAATTTGCGATAAAAGTAATCGGTATGCGGAAAAATCGCTATGTGATGCCATCGTTATACGGGGGTCCACTGTACATGCTTTCTGCCAATCCCTAGGTACCTTCCCCTCTTTCATACATTTATTAAACAAAAAGTACCAACCACTCCCAAAACTATATCCCCCCCCGCTTTTAACATTTCTGTCATGATCCCATCAGTTCCAGTGCTTTACCCCCTTTCATTTTATGTAATGCCTCACGTACCTCTCCCACACTTACATTCTGCTCTTCTTCACTCCTAAAAGATGGTATACCTCCCTGACCAGTGCATGAATTACTGCCTTGTTTTTCCTTAACATTTAAAAGTTCCTCAAAATATTCTCGCATCTACCTAATACCTCCATCTCCCCATTACTAACTCCCCTACTCTGTTTTCAACTGACAAATCCCCTACTTTCCCTAGGCTTTCTTAACTTGTTTAACTCACTCCAAAATTTTTTCTTATTTTCATTAAAATTTCTTGACAGTGCTCTCCCCCTCTATCATCTGCCTCCCTTTTTCACTCTTCACCACTCTCCTTTACCTTTCTTTTACTCTCCATATACTCTGCTCTTCTTATAACACTTCTGCTTTGTAAAAAAACCCCTCATAAGCTTTCCTTTTTCTCTTTTATCACACCCCTTTTCTTCATCTTCCACCAATCACTCCCCTTTCCTCCTACCCCCACCCTCCTATAACCACAAATTCTGCCCACATTCTAATACTGCATTTTTAAAAACGATTCCAACCCTCTTCAACCCCCCCACTACTATCTTTGCACTAGCCCACCTTTCTGCCAATAGTCGCTTATATCTCACCGAACTTCCTCCTCCCTTAGTTTATACACTTTCACCTCCCTCTTACTTGTTGTTGCCACCTTCCTCTTTTCCCATCTACCTCTTACTCTAACTGTAGCTACAACTAAATAATGATCCGATATATCTCTAACTGTAGCTACAACTAAATAATGATCCGATATATCAGTTGCCCCTCTATAAACATGTACATCCTGGAGCCTATCCATCAACTTTTATCCACCAATACATAATCTAACAAACTACTTTCATTACGTGCTACATCATACCTTGTATATTTATTTATCCTCTTTTTCATAAAATATGTACAGTGGTCCCCCGCATAACGATCACCTCCGATTGCGACCAATTATGTAAGTGTATTTATGTAAGTGCGTTTGTACATGTATGTTTGGGGGTCTGAAATGGACTAATCTACTTCACAATATTCCTTATGGGAACAAATTCGGTCAGTACTGGCACCTGAACATACTTATGGAGTGAAAAAATATCGTTAACCAGGAGTCCACTGTATTACTTATTACCAAATTTCTTTCTACACATAGCTCAATTTATTATATCATATTATGTCATATTAGATCAATTGTGATAAATAAGCCATCGAGTTGATATTAGTGTTATACTGAAGTATTTTCCCCCACTTCCTGAGAGCCAGGAATTCCGCTGGAACAGATTAATGGCATTTCATTTAATTTCAATGAGGAAAATTGATTTGATATATGAGCAGATTGAGTTATGAGCTTGGTCACAGAACAAATTAAACTCTTAAGTCAAGGTACCTCTGTATACTATACAGCCTCTCCTCATTTTACAATGGAGGACTACAAATTCGTAAAGCTCTCAAAAACATTGATGAGAAAACAGACAGTTTGACTCTATCTTGATGCGAGGAATAATAGTGGACATAGGAACAGTTATTTGTAGGTTTTCTGTAAATTTTAAATTTGAATTCATTATTACCCTTAATAATTAAAACATCTAGAAAAGGCAATGAGTTATTTTCTTCAAACTCAACATTAAAGTTTATAGAATGGAAAATTAAATAGCTTAGCCCATTCTATAAACTTTACTGTTGAGTTTGAAGAAAATAACTCATTGCCTTTTCTAGATGTTTTAATTATTAAGGGTAATAATGAATTCAAATTTAAAATTTACAGAAAACCTACAAATAACTGTTCCTATGTCCACTATTATTCCTCGCATCAAGATAGAGTCAAACTGTCTGTTTTCTCATCAATGTTTTTGAGAGCTTTACGAATTTGTAGTCCTGAGTTCATAGATGAGGAAATATCCAAAATTTATGAAATAGGTAATGATTTAAAATACCCAAGAAATGTAATTGATAAATCTTTTAAAGTTGCTAGAAATACTTTTTACAATCCAAAAAGGGACAACCAGCCTTATTCAACTAAAAATATGTTGGTTCTCCCTTACCATGAAAACTTGGTTGATATGCCTTCTCTTCTTAAGACTTTTAATATTTAAGTTGTATTCAAAAATCTTGATACAGTAAAAAAACTTTTGATAAAGAATTCCCCCCAAAATGCTGATGGATGTGTCTATAAGATTCCTTGTAAAATTTGCGATAAAGTTTATTACGGTCAAACTGGTAAAAATCTCGAACTAAGATTAAAACAACATAAATATAGCATTAGAACTGGACAAGATTCCAATGCTCTATTTTTCATGTAAGAGATTTTAACCATCCAATTGATTTTCAAAAAGTTGAGAAAGTAGTATCAAGCAAGTCCATGGTCGACAGGAATATAATTGACAATAATATGAATATTTCCTTTGGTTTATATAAATTAGATCCGTTTATAATTAATAGAATTTGGGAAGAATTTAATAATACACTGGACAAATAATAATTTTTAAATTTTCTTGGGTAGAATAGTTTGTGGGTGAGTTGTGCAAAGGACCTATCCAAGTTGGGTCGGCGCGCGTCAGGTGTTTAACCGTTGTGGGATCTGATAGTGAGGTGCTGGCCAGACCCCTTATATAGTTTCCTTGGATGCTTTACTTTCATAGTTCCTTGATAATGTGAGTAGTCATGAAAGCGCTTGCAATTTCTCTATTCTTTCAGAGTGGTTGTTTTGCATATTCTGAAGTCACCTGTTTACTGTGATCTTATTGCATATGCTTGTATATGTATGTGTAGTGTGACCTAAGTGTAAGTAGAAGTAGCAAGACATACCTGAAATCTTGTTTATGAGACAGAAAAAAGGACACCAGAAATCCTACCATCATGTAAAACAATTACAGGCTTCTGTTTTACACTCACTTGGCAGGATGGTAGTATTAAGACAAAACTCCATACAGTATAAGGTATGCTGTATACATTTATTTCACTTACCTGGTATTTCATAAGAGAATCCCACAGTTGAGTGTCCGTCACTTCCTTACTGATGAAAGCAAGACATTCAAACAATGCCTTAATAACAAAGGAAACATCTCTGCTACTTGATAAAACTCTGTCTTTCAATAACCTGAAAAAATAATACAATAATGCAGTTATAAATGCCTAATCAAGCTTCACCAATTATAATAAAGTCATGGACTTATTATCTGAGAATGCTTAAGTGACAGATCAAACTATCTTGAATGACTTTCAAAAGACCAATGAACACGTGTGCTTGAATATCCTGAGTCTGCATTCTCATTTGCTTTATAAAGAACAAAAGGAAAAGTGTACGGTAGGGTTAATATTGAAAGAATTAGAGGTAAGACAGAATGTAGAATTGCGGATGAGCAAGGACGTTTTAGAGTGGGTAGGGGATGTGAAGATCAAGTGTTTACATTGAAGCATATATTTTATTTTTTTATTAGCACACTGGCCGATTCCCACCAAGGTAGGGTGGCCCGAAGAAGAAAAACTTTCACCTTCATTCACTCCATCACTGTCTTGCCAGAAGGGTGCTTTACACTACAGTTTTTAAACTGCAACATTAACACCCCTCCTTCAGAGTGCAAGCACTGTACTTCCCATCTCCAGGACTCAAGTCCGGCCTGCCGTTTTCCCGGGAACCCCTTCATAAATGTTACTTTGCTAAACACTCCAACAGCACGTCAAGTACGGAGGGCCCCACTTATAACGGCGGGTTTAAGGTTCAGGCTACCGCCGTAAAGCGGAAATCGCCGAAAAGGGGAAAAACCACCCTTTTTTTTCCACTTATAATGCATACAAACACTAGATTAAAAAGTTTACACTAACATATATTAGTTAGCAATAGAACCAGGCATCAAAAAAATTAAAAAAGGGACAATAACACATAGTGCACTCATTACTTACCTTAAAATATTTATAGTCTTAATCTAGGGTGAGACAAGTAGTATTTATTGTAAGAAATCAAGTGGGTATGTATTGTAATAGCCAGGCTACCTCGCCAGGCCACCCCTCACACATACTATTCTATGATATTTAAGCATCCCAGAGCGATAAAATGTATATAAAAGTTCACTCATTACTTACCCTTTAAAAAATTTGTAGTCTTAATTGTAGGGTCAGGAGTAAGTAAATGAGTAAAAACGAATAAATGAGAGAGAGAAAGAATGAGTACATGAGAGGTAACAGGTGCAGAGTTATGTAAACAAAACCCGGCTCCCACATCTTATATTTATGTTTATTTATTCTATTGTGGGGTGTATTTATCATTTTTTTTATGTTATGTACGTGTTTATTATATAATTTTGAAAAAATATCATGGCCCGGATTAATGAAAATGTGTATATTACCGCAATATACGACATTTAATGAGACTCGGTGAGTATTGTTATTATCACCACTTGTGCAAGTCGTCTGCTACCACATCTCCATTTTATGTTTATTTATTCTACTGTGGGGTGTATTTATCTTATTTATATGTTATGCATCGTGTTTATTATATAATTTTGAAAAAAATATCATGGATGGATTAATGAAAATGTGTATATTCCCGAAATATACGACTTTTAAATGAGACTCGGCGAGTATTGTTATTATCACACTTGTGCAAGTCGTCTGCTCACATTCACATTTGTTTATTTATTCTACTGTGGGGTGTATTTATTTTTTTATATGTTATGCATCGTGTTTATTATATAATTTTGAAAAAATATCATGGATGGATTAAGGGAAAATGTGTATATTACCTTTAATATCGACATTTAATGAGACTCGGTGAGTATTGTTTATTATGGCGTCACTTGTGGAATCGTCTGCTACATCTCACATTTATGTTTATTTATTCTACTGTGGGGTGTATTTATTTTTTATATGTTTGCATCGTGTTTATTTAAATTTTGAAAAAAATATCATGGATGGATTAATGAAAATGTGTATATTACCGTAATATACGACATTTAATGAGACTCGGTGAGTTTGTTATTATGGCGTCACTTGTGGAAGTCGTCTGCCCCAAATCTCACATTTATGTTTTTTTTTATTCTACTTTTGGGGGTATTTATTTTTTTTTAGTTATTGCATCGTGTTTATTATATAATTTGAAAAAAAATATCATGGATGGATTAATGAAAAATGTGTATATTAACGTAATATAACGACATTTAAATGACTCGATGTATGTAAGTTTATTTAGGTACAGGTATACATAAGTATAATTATCAGAGTATATATAAAATATGAAATAACTTTTAAAAACATTTGAAATTTTGGAGTTTCCAGACAAAATGGAGAGACTTAGTGCTTACTGAGCTCATGGAGAATGTAAACAAACAGGGTGGGGCACGGTGACCGTATTAGAAAGTCAGGTGGGGGGAGCCGTATAGTGAGTTTTGGTCATAATTTGAAATGTCCATATTAGCGGAACGCCGTAAAGTGAAACGCCGTAAAGCGGGGCCTTCCTGTATTAAAAACCATTTGTCTCCATTCACTCCTATCAAACACGCCGACCCCTACCCTGCCTTCCTTCTACTACAGACTGATACACTCTTGAAGTCATTCTGTTTCACTCCATTCTCTCTACATGTCTGAACCACCTCAACAACCCTTTCTCAGCCCTCTGGACAACAGTTTTGGGAATCCTGCACCTCCTCCTAATTTCCAAACTACAAATTCTCTGCATTATATTCACACCACACATTGCCCTCAGACATGACATCATCACTGCCTCCAGCCTTCTCCTCGCTGCAACATTCATCACCCATGCTTCACACCCATAAAAGAGCGTTGGTAAAACTATACTCTCATACATTCCCCTCTTTGCCTCCAAGGACATAGTACTTTGCCTCCACAGACTCCTAAGTGCACCACACACCCTTTTGCCCTCATCAATTCTATGATTCACCTCATCTTTCATAGACCCATCCGCTGACACATCCACTCCCAAATATCTGAATACATTCACCTCCTCCATACTCTCTCCCTCCAATCTGATATCCAATCTTTCATTACCTAATCTTTTTATCCTCATAACCTAACTCTTTCCTGTATTCACTTTTAATTTTTTTCTTTTACATACCCTACCAAATTCATCCACCAACCTCTGCAACTTCTCTTCAGAATCTCCCAAGAGCACAGTGTCATCAGCAAAGAGCAACTGTGACAACTCCCACTTTGTGTGATTCTTTATCTTTTAACTCCACGCCTCTTGCCAAGACCCTCACATTTACTTCTCTTACAACCCCATCTATAAATATATTAAACAACCACGGTGACATCACACATCCTTGTCTAAGGCCTACTTTTAATGGGAAATAATCTCCCTCTTTCCTACATACTTTAACATAAGCCTCACTATAATCGTAAAAACTCTTCATTGCTTTCAGTAACCTACCTCCTATACCATACACCTGCAACATCTGCCACACTGCTCCCCTAGCAGTGTTTAGATAAAGGTAGGGAAGTTTTTATTACATTTATGGATTTAGAAAAGGCATATGATAGAGTGGATAGGAGAGCAATGTGGCAGATGTTGCAAGTACATATATGGAATAGGTGGTAAGTTACTAAATGCTGTGATGAGTTTTTATGAAGATAGTGAGGTTTAGGTTAGGGTGTGTAGAAGAGAGGGGGACTACTTCCCGGTAAAAGTAGGTCTTTGACAGGGATGTGTGATGTCACCATGGCTGTTTAATATATTTATAGATGGGGTTGTAAACGAAGTAAATGCTAGGGTGTTCGGGAAAGGGGTGGGATTAAATTATGGGAAATTAAATACAAAATGGGAAGTGACACAGTTACTTTTTGCTGATGATACTGTGCTTATGGGAGATTCTAAAGAAAAATTGCAAAGGTTAGTGGACGAATTTGGGAATGTGTGTAAAGGTAGAAAGTTGAAAGTGAACATAGAAAAGAGTAAGGTGATGAGAGTATCAAATGATTTAGATAAAGAAAACTTGGATATCAAATTGGGGAGGAGGAGTATGGAAGAAGTGAATGTTTTCAGATATCTTGGAGTTGACATGTCAGCGGATGGATTTATGAAGGATGAGGTTAATCATAGAATTGATGAAGGAAGAAAGGTGAGTGGTGCATTGAGGTATATTTGGAGGCAAAAAATGTTATCTATGGAGGAAAAGAAGGGAATGTATGAAAGTATAGTAGTACCTACACTCTTATATGGGTGTGAAGCTTGGGTTGTAAATGCTGCAGCGAGGAGGCAATTGGAGGCAGTGGAGATGTCCTGTCTAAGAGCAACGTGTGGTGTAAATATTATGCAGAAAATTCGGAGTGTGGAAATTAGGAGAAGGTGTGGAGTTAATAAAAGTATTAGTCAGAGGGCTGAAGAGGATTTGTTGAGGTGGTTTGGTCATTTAGAGAGAATGGATCAAAGTAGAATGACATGGAGAGCGTATGAATCTGTAGGGGAAGGAAGACGGGGTAGGGGTCGTCCTCGAAAAGGTTGGAGGGAGAGGGTAAAGGAGGTGTTGTGGGCGAGGGGTTTGGACTTCCAGCAAGCGTGTGTGAGCGTGTTAGATAGGAGTGAATGGAGATAAATGGTATTTGGGACCTGACGATCTGTTGGAGTGTGAGCAGGGTAATATTTAGTGAAGGGATTCAGGGAAACCGGTTATTTTATATAACCGGACTTGAGTCCTGGAAATGGGAAGTACAATGCCTGCACTCTGAAGGAGGGGTTTGGGATATTGGCAGTTTGGAGAGATATATTGTGTATTTTTATATGTATATACTTCTAAACTGTTGTATTCTGGGCACCTCTGCAAAAACAGTGATTATGTGTGAGGTGAAAGTGTTGAATGATGATGAAAATATTTTCTTTTTGGGGATTTCTTTCTCTTTGGGTCACCCTGCCTCGGTAGGAGACTGCCGACTTGTTGAGAGAGAGAGAAAAAAAAAAAAAAAAAAAAAAAAGGAACAATACAGTGACTGAAACAATGCACAAATAACCTGCACACAGGAGAAAGAAACTAGTCACACACTCACACAGGAAGGTACACATACTAGCTCCCTATTCGTGTGTTGATGTGGGCCTAGTTAACTGTCCAAGTCAGACTGAAACATTGTCTTAAGTTTCTTTCTCCTATATGTGGGTTGTGTATTTTTTTTTTCAACATGTTGACTGTCTCCCACCGAGGCAGAGTGACCCAAAACACTTTCACCATAATTCACACATAATCACTGTCTTTGCTGAGGCATCCAGATAGGACAGTTCAGATGTCACTCTAAACAACTAATATATACTAATATCCCAAACCTCTCCTTTAACCCTTTCAGGGTTTTGGCCGTACTAGTACGGCTTACGCACCAGGGTTTTTGACGTACTAGTACGCCTAAATGTTATTACTGTTCTTGCTGCTGAACAGCGGTTTAGTGCCGATGAAGGTAGCGTAGGTAGCAATGATACGGCCGTGGACTAGTTTGGCTTTAATTGGATAGGAGTGAGTACACAACGGGCAGTGTGAGGGAGTGACTGCAAACCAGCCCATGGAGGGGGAGCACTTGTGCCTATCAGGTCAGTCGGCCTAGGAGTGAGGCCGAATGGGCTCAGCCTCCCACTGACCTGGGTGAGCCTACAGAGGGCAGCACTTAAATGCCGCGGAATATGAACTAGTCAGAACAGACGGTTAGGCTGTGTGTTCTGACAGTACAGGTTGTCTACATAAATTCTAGTGCCCTCAAATCTATTGAGATAAAGCTGGTAGGCTTACATATGAAAGAATGCGTCTATGTGGTCAGTGTGCATGGTATAAAAAAAACCTGCAGCACACAGTGCGTAATGAGAAAAAAAAACTTTGACCATGTTTTTGGATTAAAACAGCGACTTTGCACTGCATTTTCATATGGTATTTATTGTTGTATTCTAGTTTTCCTGGTCTCATTTTATAGAAAGGAAGACATGTTACAGAAATTGAGATGATTTTGACTGGTTTTACAAAGAAAACTACCTTGAAATTGCGCTCAAAGTAGCAGAAATGTTTGATTTTTACCAAAGTTCAAAAGTAAACAAATCATGCTATGCGTCCAATACACGTCAACTGGTGAGTCCCAATATTCTTTACAAGTGTTTATATTTATCCTAAGAGTTTCGGGGCAACAGCGCTCTGTACAGTCCTTGGTAGGCCTAAAAACCAAAGGTGGGCCGGAGAAAACCCTTACAAGAAAAGGGTGTTAAAATGCCAGGCTTTCCGGCCACTTAAGAACTGCCGGCCCCTTTTGGAATTCCCCCTTTTTTTTGTGGGGATTGAAAATTGCCAAACTGACACTTTTGTATTGTTTTAAGGGGTTGACCCTTTTTCAATGGAAAATGATTTTCCCGCCAAATTTTTTTTTTGTAAAATCCTGGTTGGGAAATAGGCTCAAAAATTTGGGAAAATTTGATCCCCTCGTTCCAGGGGGTAATTTAGGAAATTTTAAAATTTTTTTAATTATTTTTTTCCCTTATGGGCGGGAAAGTTCTCTATCTTTTCATAAGATTTTTTTTTTTTTTTTGAAATTTGGCCGACCCTGTGAAGTTCTGAGAGGGCTTGTCGACCCTGAAAGGGTTAAAGTGTAGGCACTGTACTTCCCACCTCCAGGACTCAAGTCCAGCTAACTGATTATATTTATATTAACTATATATAGTACAGTATACATGTATGCTGTAGAAAGTTTTCTCAACAATTTTAAGCAAGCCGACATGTTGGTGAAATTCATCCCTGTGCACTGGATGAAGAAGACAAAAATGTAATAAATGTATTGTGGTGCAAAGCAGGGTAGGATGGGTTACTGAAGTTCTACAAATTCATCTTGGGCTAATTTATATCTGAGCCTAAATAAATTTTATAACTCTGATGACTTCTTGATTTTTTTTTAACAAGTCGGCCGTCTCCCACCGAGGCAGGGTGACCCATAAAGAAAGAAAATCCCCAAAAAGAAAATACTTTCATCATCATTCAACACTTTCGCCTCACTCTCACATAATCACTGTTTTTGCAGAGGTGCTCAGAACACAACAGTTTAGAAGCATATACGTATAGAGATACACGACATATCCCTCCAAACCGCTAATATCCCGAACCCCTCCTTTAGAGTGCAGGCATTGTACTTCCCATTTCCAGGACTCAAGTCCGGTTATATAAAATAACCGGTTTCCCTGAATCCCTTCACTAAACATTACCCTGCTCACACTCCAACAGATCATCAGGTCCCAAACACCATTCATCTTCATTCACTCCTATCGAACACACTCATGCACGCCTGCTGGAAGTCCAAGCCCCTCGCACACAAAACCTCCCTTACCCTTCCTTCCAACCTTTTCGAGGACGACCCCTACCCCGCCTTCCTTCCCCTACAGATTTATGCGCTCTTCATGTCATTCTACTTTGATCCATTCTCTCTAAATGACCAAACCACCTCAACAACCCCTCTTCAGCCCTCTGACAAATACTTTTATTAATCCCACTTCTTGATATAAAAAAAAAAAAAAAAATTATCTACAGTAATAAACATTTATTCCAAAACAAAATTTTCCCACAAAAGCATTCAATGCACTCAAAATAAAGTCACAAAAAACCCTTCGGGAAGTGGTTTGGTCATTTAAAAAGGGCCCAGAGCAAGATAGGATGCAAAGAGGGTATCAAATCTATAGTGCGGGGAAAGGCAGATAGAGGTTGTTCTAGAATTTGAAAAAGGGGGTGAAGGGGTTTTTTAAAGGTAGATGCTTTAGATCCAGAAGGCAGTCAGGAGACTAAGTGGTTTTTATGATTGATTTGCCACTGAATTTTAAACAGGGAACCTTTATGAAGGTTTCGAGAAAGGGGTTAGCCAGACTTAAGCCCTGTAGTGGGAAGTACAGGCCTGCACTTGGGGAATGAGGGTGGGGTGCATGATTCAGAAGGGTTATCTAAATTTTGTTGTGCTTTTCTAGAAAGAAGTGGTGGTGAATGTTTTTTTTTTGGGTCACCATGTTGAAGGAAGGACGGGGTAGCTTTTTTTTTTTTTGCTTGAGTGGAACTTTGTATAAACTCCTGAAATTGGGAACTTTTTCCTTTTTAAACGTGGGAAAAGGTGCCAAAGAAAATGACACTTTTTTTTTTAATTATATAAAACTAAAATAATTCTCCCTGGGGGTGGAACAGATTCTTCCCCGTGCCTGCGTGTTTTAAGAGGTGACTAAATGCCAGGAGTGTACCCCTTCTCCCCTATAAATTACTAAAATTTAAAAAAAAGAAACTTCTGTTTTTCTTTTTGGGCATCCGCCCTTGGTGGGATATGGCCAAATAGTAGTAGTTGTGTCGTCGTGTCGTGTTGTTGAAGAAGAAGAAGAAGAAGAAGATACATACCCAGTTGTCAAAGCTTTGAAAAATTTTATTTAAAATGGCATTTATCATCCATGGGGTTTTTCAGGAGATACTGTAAAAGGGGCAACTGGGATACCCCTCTCCGCGTGCCCGGGCACCATCACGCATTACTGAGTACATTCGCTTGAAAACGACTTGCTGCTTTTTTTTCCCCAGAAAAATTTTGCGAAAAGGAAATAATAGCAGTACCACCCGTGTTATCTAGAAAAATTAAACAAAATCTGTTAGTGTCTTGGAACTTAAAAACCCAAAACTCTAGCATTCTTTTTTTAAAGTGTAAACAAAAAAATCTACTAAAAACTGTATAGCATTTAGCAGTTCAATTATTTAAAACTCATTAAATACAAATTACATATGCAGCTTCACATTACCCAACAGCAACTGAATGAATGATGGTGAATGTATTTCTTTTTTGAGTCACAATAATTGCCAGTGATTTCAACGTTGATACGTCTCAGCCTAAAAAATCACAAAGTCATCAGCTTCTTAAAATGCAAGTAGTACCTTTATACAGGTACTTCTCACCTAACAAACAACCTGTTTAGCAACCGCTCGGACTTATAATAAGCTCTCCGACAAGTATAAAACCCAAGTAACGTACATTAGAGCTGATTTCCTCTATTCTATTTATTACAGTACACTACTGTATAAACATTTAAAAATATACTAAAAGTGTTATAAATGGTGCAAAGGTGACATTAAAACAATATGTAAAGATGGTTGACAAACCCACTACCAGTACAGTATACTCCTCACATAACAACCAATTCACTTACCAACCTACTCTTAGGAACAGAACTCGGTCGTTACGTGAGGAGTACCTGTATACCAATACCCTCAGTTAATGAACTTGCCAAATTTGGCCAGAGTTACTGAAACCTCCATAACCAGTATAATCTAGACCACATAATCACTAGATTAAACAAGCAACCCTTACTTTCTTCATCAACAATATATGTATTTAAAGCACCACAAGAAATGAAGAAAATGAAAATCAGTCTGAAGAACAGAATCTGAATACAAAAGTTTACCAAAGCAGCCCTGAATATAAACTATCAAAACAAATGCTGACAAATACAGCATACAGTACAGTGTATCAAAATAGGGTTAAAAAACTACAATGAAATTGTCTTCTTCCAATTAAACGAATCTCTAAATAGAAGTTAATTTCACTGTTTACAAGAATTATACTTAGATTTCCTGACAAAAAACTACTCCAAATCCCAAAAGTGGCACCAAAACAGACATTTCAAAAATGTAACCATATTTTATCACAACAGTGATATTATGACAAATTTTGCACAGCATAAGATGAAATGAAAATAAGCCTTGAAAACCATTTTACAAATTCTCAAAACAGGAAACCAACAGATTTCTCCAGAGATAGAATATTCATACTCTTAGTTACTGAGAATTGCAGAATCCATTAAATTGTACTCCACCGCAGAAACTAAACCAGCTAAAAGCTCACCAAAAGCCTCAACATATAAAAACAGCTTCTACTCAAGAGAAATGTCAAAGTTTCCACATTCCATTAAAAGTCAAAAACCAACTTATTTTGAAAAAAATTATTTTAGCATTTTCCCCATGAAAACAGAAGTTATACATTTTTCCCCCAGGGGGAAAATTGAAAACATTTAATTTAAAAATTTTTAAAAAAACAAAAAAAATTAACACTTACGGGGTTAGTAACACACAAAATGAAAAAAAGAAACCCCAATTTTTGGGGTTAAAAAAGGGCCCAAATCTTGATCGTCTAATCCCAAATTTATGGCACTGTTAAGATAAATTTCTGAATTCCTTAGCAACTTAAACAAAATCAAACAGCCCTTTTATTGGGAAAACCTCCCATCCTTTACCTGAAAAAAAAATTGTCAAAACAAAATTTAACCACTGCTAATAAATGCCCTTATTTCTATAAACTAGTAAAATAATAATTTTTTTTCATGCTTAGGCCCATAAAAAAAATTTTCCCAAGACATATTTCAAAAATTACAGAGCTTCAATTATTTAAAACTTAAAATTTTTTAAAAAACTCCAAGTTTTTTAAGATTTTTTAAAATTTCCCTTTTCAGATAAATCCAAATACAGAAAAGGTTTCCCAATTTAAAATTAGGGGTTTAAAACTGGCTTTTTAAATTTAAAAATTTTACTTAACGGGACTGAGGGAAAAATTAAAAAAAATTTTAAGGATGTTTTTGTAAAAATAAGTTTCAAAAACCTTACATTGTAGTATATAGTTAAATAAAGCGAGAGTAAAAGTAATAAAGTACAATACTTTCAAGTAAAAATGTTTCCCTGTTTTTTCTTTAGATGATTCAGCATTTAATTCTTAAACCCTTTCCCAAAAAAAGCAAAACCACAAAAAAATTATGAAAGGGAATTTACACCCTACTTTTGAAAATTTTTTTTAACCCCTTTTGGGGTTTTTTCGTCGTATTTGAAACTCTTAGGGTGGGTTTTTTTGGACGTACAAATTTCTCAAAAATTTTAGCGACCTCAAATTTTGTGGGAGAAAGCTGGTAGGCCTTCTTTTAAAAAGAAGGGGTCTAGGGGGCCCAGGGTGCACAGTTTTAAAAAAACCCGGAAAGCACCGGTGCTAATGGAAAAAAAAATTTTTAATTTTTTTTTTAAAAAATCCGACTTTGCGTGTATTTTCGTATAGTATTTATTTTTGGGATTCGGGTTTTCTTGGTCCCCTTTTATAGAATGGAGAAATTTTTAATAAAATTGGGGAATTTTGCTGGTTTTACAATGAAAGGTCCCTAAAATTTGGAGCTAAAAATAGCGGAAATGTTCGGATTTTTCCCAAAACTTCAAAGTAAAAAAAATCGTGCCAAGCGGGGCAATACCGTTCAAAGGGTGAGTCAAATTTTCCCTTTTCCCCAATGCCCAAAATTTTTTTATTCCTTTTTTACCTAATCCCAGTAGTCTGCATAACAGTAAATTTTATATTTTTTTTGTGGGAAAAAAAATTCAATTTGGAAAGAAAAAGAATATAAAAAGGGGCCTTTGAGACGGGGCCCTAATGACTAGGGGAAAAAGTCATTTTAGTGCCGGGAATGTTTTTCTTGTTTTTTCGGCCCCCTTTTCCAAAATTTGGGAGTTTAAAATTTGGTAAAATTTGGGCCCAAAATTTTGCAAATTTTACCACGTACTGGATAGTTAAATTTTAATTAAATGGGGGGTTTTTTGGGCACCCATTCGATAGAAAAAGGGGAGTTCTAGCGAAATTTTTCATGTTTTTTTGCGCCCTAGTACAGTAAAATTTTGGCCGAAAAGGGGGTTTCAAAGGGGGCAAAAATCGCCGATCCGAAAACATCCCCGAGCCGCAACTTTGGGGAGAGCATAATTCCGAAATTTTTTTCTATAAAATTTTTAAAACCCTTTTGGTTTTCGTTATAGGGGGAAAAGTTCCCCTTTTTTTCAAAAAGAGAAAAAAATTTTTTTTTTTTTTAAATTTTGGGCCCCGCCCCGAAAAAGGAGTTTCGGAGGGGGGCCTGTCCCCCCTAAAAGGGGTTTAAAAAAAGGTTTAAAAAAAATCTTTAAAAACCCTTACCATAGGATTCTTAGTTTTAGATATTTTTTCCAAAATGATTTGGATTCTCAATGAGAGAGGCCTTCTAAAGTTTTAAAATTGCTGTTTTTTTCTGTGCTTTTAGTTTGTGGTTGAGAAAAAAGGACTACAGAAATTTAAAGAACAAGCTATTTACACTTTTTTACTTATTTTTTCCCTGTCTTCAGGATCATTACTCTTGGGGTAATGATCCATTATATTCTAAGTTTTTTTTTTTTTTTACCCCATTTTTCCGTTTTTTTCCACCCCAAAAGGCAGGGGGGGCCCGGGGAAAGAAAAATTTTTCCACCCAAACCCCCATTCCCCAACCATTTCACCTTCCCCCCTTGCCAAAAAGGGTTTCTTTAAACTCAGTTTTTAAACCCCCCTCCCCCAACCCCTTTAACACCCCTCCTTCCAGAGTCCCCAGGCCGGGTATTTTCCTTTCTCCAGGACTCAAGTCCGGCCCTCGGTTTCCTAAAACCCCCTTCAAAAAAGTTCCCTTTGTCACACTCCAACCACGGTAAAGTATTAAAAACCATTTGTCCCCCATTCATCCTATCAAACACGCTCACCCATGCCTGCGGAAAAAGCCCAAAAGCCTCTCACAAAAAAAAAACCTCCTTTCCCCCCTCCCCCAAACCCTTTTCCCTTTGGGCCGCCCCCTCCCCCGCCTTCCTTCCACAAACAGATTTGATACCCTTAAATTTATTCGTTTCGCTCCATTCTCTCCACATGTCCAAAAACCACCTAAAAAACCCTTTTCCTCACCCCCTCGGGACAACGTTTTGGTAACCCCGCCCCCTCCTCCAACTTCCAAAAACAAATTTCTCTGCATTATATTCACACCACACTTTGCTCTCAGACTGACATCCCCACGGGCCTTTCCACCCTTTCCTCGCTGAAACATTCACACCCATGCTTCCACCCATATAAGAGCTTTGGGAAAAAACTATACTCTAAATTAAATTCCCCTCTTTGCCCCAAGGACAAAGTTCTTTGTCCCCAAAGGAACCCCTAAGTGCACCACTCCCCTTTTTTCCCCCTCATAAATTTCTTGATTAAACCTCATTTTTCATGGGACCCACCCGCTGACACTTTCCACTCCCAAAAATCGGGTTTACATTCACCTCCTCCATACTCCTCCCCCCAATCTGATTCCAATTTTTCCCATCCCCTAATTTTTTTCCCTTTTTCCATAACCTTACTCTTTCCTGAAATTCATTTTCCCAATTTTTTCCTTCTTTTCCCACACCCTCCCAAAATTTTCATCCCCCAAATTCCGCAATTCTCTTCAAATCTCCCAAGGGGCACAGTTCATCAGAAAAAGAGCAATTTTTTTGACAAACTTCCCCCTTTATGTGTGATTCTTTATCCTTTTTAAATCCCACCTCTTGCCAAGACCCTCGCATTTTTCTTCTCTTTTTCAAACCCCAAAAAAAAATAA